GGAGATCACTGGAGGATTGGACTTCAGCCAGCCTGTCCACCAACAACAAGAAACCAAAAGGACTTTTCTTATCTATATAAAGCATGAGAAGAAACAGGTCCTGGCAAGGAACATGTCTGTAATTCCAGCAACTCAGGAGGCTGAAGCAGGAAGATCAAACATGCAAGGCCTGCCTGGGCTTGCAGGGTTAGAGTTTCAGGCCAGCCTAGGCAATACCTTGGTGAGATCCTGTCTTTAAAGTTAAGTGGGAAAGGGGACGGCTAAGGATGCGGTTCAATGGTAAAGCTCTCGCCTAGCTTGTGAGAGGCCTGAGCTTCAATTCCAGTACCTGACCTCCAAAGAACGAGAAATAAAAGTAAACTTTAGTAAGGTACAAATACCTGCCTAAATGCTCAAAAACCCAGCAGGAGAGAGAGCGATGGCACACGCCTTTAACCCCAGCAACTCACGAGGCAGAGGCAGGTGGGTATCTGGGAGTTCAAGGCCAGTCTAGTCTACAATATGAGCTTCAGATCAGCCATGGCTACATGATGAGACCTTGTCTCAAAACACTAAAAACAAAACAAAACAAAAAAACCAGCATGGTACAAGCTGGGAATCCCGTCACTTAGACTGGAGCACTGGGATCTTCTGTAGGATACTAGCCTGGGCTACAAAGCACAGTAAAACCCTGTCTTTTAAAAACAACAAGGGCCGCTCTTTTCCAAAAGGCTCAAAACTCATTCCAACCACCCATCAGGTGATTTACAAGTCCCTGGACTGAGTTCCAGGGGGATCCCAAGCACTTATGTGTACCTATCCACACAATACTCACACACACACACACACACACACACACACACACACACACACACACACATCTACACGTGTAACATTAACAAAGCGTCTTTTAATAGAAAAAGGAGGCTTTCAGGTAGGTGCAGCTCAGTGGTAGAGTGCTTGCCTAGCATAAACGAGGCCTCGGATTCCATCCTTAGCTAAGAAAGAAAGAAAATGAGAGTTGAGTGTGTTGACACCCTTTAATCCCGGTACTCAGATGGCAGTTAGGCAGATCTCAGTTAAGAGGCCAGCCTGGTGTACAGAGTTTATGGACAGCCAGGGCTACACAGTGAAACCCTATCTGGGGGCGGGGGAAGAAAGGAGGGAGAGAAAATGATTGAGAAAGCAGGGTGGTGTGGTGGTTCTTCACATCTATAATCCTAGAAATCCAGAGGCAGGATGACCATGAACTCAATGTCAGCCTGGGCTACAAAGAAAGTGAGACCCTGTCTCCAAAAACAAACAAACCAACCTCAGGAGGGAGGAAGTAAATATTCTGTAGCCTACAGGGTCTCACTATGCAGCCTTAGCTGGCATGGAACTGGTGTGTGCTAAATCTGACTGAGCTCCTGCTTCCTTAATCCCAGTGCCTTCCAGAGCTAGAGGGAGTATGCCACCATGTCCAAGTCAAATTCAATTCTTGCCTGAATTTTAGAACGCTCATAGTGTTTTTCATTTTAAGATTGTGTCTCGGGTAGCCCAGGCTCGCTCGATATCTCTCTCTCTCTCCTCTCAGACACGCACGCACGCATTTGAGGATGACCATGAACTACTGACCCTCACGGTCTCAGGTTTCCACTTCCCAAGTGCTGAAATTACAGGCATAAGGTAAAATTTATTTTATGTGTATGAACACTCTTGTATGCATATGCATCACATCACATTTGTGCCTGCTCGATCCCCTGGGCTGGAGTTTCGGACAATTTTGAGCCACCCAGTGGGTGATGGCAATCAAACCCCAGCCTCTGAAAAGCAACAAGTGAGCAATAAGCACTCTTAACCACTGAGCCATCTCTTCAGCCTCCATTTCATTTTTTAAATAAGGAAGCTAATACAAGATACTCTGAAATTATATTAATAATGAGGAAAACTCAAGAATGCCCAGGCTGATGGCCTTAGAAAGTATGAAAAGGGAATACGGTTGGCTCTCTAGAATCAAGAGCAATACCATGACCAATTGGCTTCAAAACTGATGACACGCTGGGTGTTGGTGGCACACACCTTTAATCCCAGTGCTCCAGAGGCAGGGACAGGCTGATCTCTGTGATTTCGGAGCCAGCTTGGTCTACAGAGAGAGTTCCAGGACAGGTTCCAAAGCTACAGAGAAACCCTGTCTCGAACCACCCCTCCAAAAAAAAAACCACAATTGATGATACTGAGAGACTTTGAAGTCAATCTGTGCTAAGAGACACTGCTGCTGCTGCAATAAAAAACAAATTGTAAAAGATGCCACTGATGAACAAGGGACCAGGACTAACTAAATCTTGGGCCTAGGGAGTGAAGCCTGGCAGTAAGAGTACTGATCTAGCACAGGTAAGATCCCAGATCAGATACCTAGCACTGCTTCAATAAATGTAAACCTTCAGCTGGGTGTGGTGGGCAAGCCTGGAGTCCTAACATCTGAGAAACAGGTAAGAGGACCAAAGAATGTTTGAGGCCAACCAGGCCAGCCAGGATGACAACAAGACACTATCTTAGTTTTTTCCTAAAAGTAATCTGTAATAAAAATAAGCATGACAATAAATAATAGTATTTACTAATGGATTATGTGTAGATGCTTACGAATTTTCCTACAGCGAAAGTGGAGGATTAGGACCCAAGGCCGACCTTGGACCCTTACAGACTGTGTTACACTGCCTCCTAAAGGTAATCAAAGGCTACTGAGCAACAACTAGCACCACCACAACAAAAAAAAAGATCCAATTCTGCTCAAAGTACTAGGAAGCTGTCACAAGTATTAACAAGGGAAAGAGGTTTTCAGGTGTTTCTTGGAAGAGCAAGCTATCCCTCCTCTAACTAAAGTTAGTTACAAACTAAGAAAAATGGTGAGGATCAATTCAAAGTGGTAACACCTAAAATTCAATCCAGGAGACCAATACATAACCCGGAAGGATTTAACAGAATGTCCTAAATCAAAGTGGATGGCTCCTAGATCACATTAAAGGGCAATGTCATTAGGGATGGGAAGGGCTAATTCAGAAATCAAGTTTAGAAAATGTTTTTACCTAGGAATGAACTCTGAGATCCAGGTACATGCCTGCAGGATACACCCATACTAGTTCTACCATAAGGTTATCCAACTAATCCCCTCTTCCTGAGTTCAGGATCACTGAGCAGCTAATTATAATCTTCAGCCCCATTCATGTTTGCCTACAGAACAGAATATTCTGGTAACAGTACTTGATCCACTGTAGATTAACAAGCTCAGTCCATTTTTTAAACAATATTTCTAAACTTACCAACACTTGGAAAATTCAGCTTTCCATTTTCACCAGCCACAGCATCTACCATCTGACTAACTACCTTCAGCATTATACTGAACCCTTTAATGTCTGAAATGCATCTTCTGTAAAACAGAAACAAAACTGCTTTCCAGAATAATGAAAATGAGTCTGGCACACCTAAAACAAGACAAATGTTAGGACTATCAAACTCCAGGACAAACTCCAAAGGCAGTAATGCAGAAAGCTGAGAGCTGAACCCAGATTTGCTCAAACTCATCCCTTTTTTCATTACAACACCCCTTATAGGCACTAGTCTCAGCTGTCCTCCAGGATTTAAGGCAATTTACTAAAAATTTCTGGGCTTTTTATCTTTAAAATGAGGGGCCTTCAGCCAGGCGTGGTGGCACACACCTTTAATCCCTGTAGGCAGAGGCAGGTGGATCTGAGTTTGAGGCCAGTCTGGCCTACAAAGAGTGAGTTCCAAGACAGCCAGAGCTACACAGCAAGACCCTGTCTCAAAAAACAGTCATCTTCCTTGTAAGATTTAGGAAAAGTAATTTGTGCAAACAACAACATCAATTCAAAAACAAGCCCTGTTTCCCTGCCTTCTGGGAAAAAACAAAAACTCCATGCCTCTAATAACTAAAAGCCTCTAATAGATAAGCTGGGTTACTTGTGTGCTGAGAAGCAGGCTCCCTCCCATAAACACAGTGAGGTACTAATACCTGAATGTTGGCTTTCTAAAAATCAATGACTGGGGAGCAATACAAAAGAATGAATTCCACCCACCACCACAAGTTGTCTGTCTGCGTCATAAAAAGGAGGACTGATCAACATCTGTTTGCCTTGAAAAGGACTATCAAAATGGTTAGGCTACTATCTTTAGAGTAAGACCGTTTTAAGAAAAGAAAGAATTAAAACTCATAGGTAGGCTTGTTTTGTAACTAAGGACTGATCGTTTTCCAGTAAGTAAATCAAGTCCAAATCACTTCACATTAAACATTTCCAAAGCTAAGCTTAACACATAGGCAGGCTATTCACAGAGAAGTTTTTGAAAGGGGTAACAGATTCTCAGAAGAGAAATACGGATAAAACTAAGTAAAACGTACAATAATTTTACCAAAGCCAGCCTTGGTAAGAAGGTTCAAGTTTAACAGAGATGGTCATCGTAAAATTATTCATGTTATTCAACTAACTTCCTTCACATTTACATATGCCTCTCATATTTCACATTATCTCGACGTGACACGAGAATTTCTTAAGAGTGGGCTGCCAGTAGCACCAAAGCTTAAGGAAGACTCTTTAATCCACTCTTCAGACTACTACTGGCACTTTCGTGTATACGAACACAAGGCAGTAGACTGTTCTAAAATCTCCGCTGATAAAAATGTTTTGATCGAAAAGTCAACCCTAAGGTTAAAATCTCCAAACTCTCTTTCGGATTCAATCTCCTAGACAAACCCTTAGTCATTAAAAAAAGAAGCAGAAGCAGAAGATAAATCCAGCGCTATCATTAGAAAACTGTCGTTCCACCCCTCCCCCAATACATCCACAACTTTGGGAAACTTTGTTCCCAGGCTTTCTAAACCCCTACGCAGAAGCTCCCCCGAGCCTCTCTCGATGGGAACGCCGCCTTCACCCGGAGGACCTTTATTTTCCTTTCTCCGCTTTCGTCTTTTTCCCTGATAACCCTTTCCCAAAAGATCTCCAAGAGAGCGAGAGCAGGCTCTACCGTACCTGGGCGTTGGCTTCGTGGAGTTTGTGCTCGGTGGAGACGTGGTGCCTCAGGAGCAGGGTTTTCTTGTAGTTGCGGGTCCCTCGCGAAAGCTCATCGTGCCCCACCGGGGGAAGGTCCCCGCCGCCCCCGTCCTCGGGGGTCCTTTGGCACCAGCCGCAGAACATGAGGCCGGTCTCCTTGGAGTACCGCAGCCAAGGGAAGTCCTTGAGCCAAGAGGTCTGGAAGGAGCACTGGAGCTTCTGCAGGAGGGACTTGGGCCTCGCGAGCGGGAAGTGCTGGACAGCCTCTCCTTCGCCAGCTCCCACACCGCTGCCCTCCGCTTCGTCCCCGCCATCGCCTCCCGACCGCCTGCTGCTGCTGCAGCTGCCGCCTTCCGCCCCACTGCCGTCGCCCGGGCTCGCCCCCTCCTCCTCGTCCTCGGTGCTGTCGCTCAGGGACGCGCCGTCCTGCATCAACTCCTTCCCCTCCAGCGCGTCCAGCTCCAGCTCCACGGCCGCCGGCCCTCGCCCATTGAAATGCCTGAGGGGCCACGCCGAGGTCTCCGGGCGGCCGCGGCTGCTGCCATTGTTGCCGAGACCCCCGGCGCCGCCCCCGCGGAAGGCCAGAGTCCGACGGTTCCTTTCCGCTAGCAGGGGGCCCCCCGCGCCGCCGCCCAGCGAGGCGGGGCCGCCCGCGTCCTGGGGGAGCAGCAACTCCTTGGCGTCCTCGGCGGCGGCGGCGGCGGCGGCCTCCGAGTCTTGGGGCTCCAGGCCCTCCGATTCCATTTCCTCGTCGGGCCCGCGCCCATTGGGCTGCGGCGGCGCGGGCGGCGCGGGCTGTCGCGGCTGCGGCTGCGGAGGCCAAGCCGAGGCCTCCCCGCCCGCGTTATTGTTCGTGGGGCCGCCGCCGCCGCCGCCGCCGCCGCCGGTGACCAACCCGCCTCCTCGGAACGCCAGCGTCCTGCGGTTCATCTCACTGAACGACATGGCGCGCGCCGCCGCCGCCGCCCGGTGCCTCGGCTCGCGCCCGGCCTCGGGCCGCGTCCCGCGCGCTCGCCGCGGCTCCCCCAACGTCTCACCCCCGCCCCCGCCCCCCGGCGCCGGCGCTGGCGCTGCGCTGCGCTCCCGCCGGCCCGGCCTCACCCTCCCGCCGGCTCGCGCTCGCTCCCGGGGGCCGCCGCACGCGTCCGCCGCCGCCTTCGCTCGCCGCTGTCCCGGCCGCGTCCTCTCCACCCCCGCCCCGCCGCGCTCCGGGCAGCGTCCCGCGCGGAGAGGCGGGCGGGCGGGCGGGCGGCGGAGCGGCGAGCCGGGGCGCGTGCGGCCTTCGAAGTTGAGGAGGAGTGCGGGCGCCCCTCGGCTGCCCCGCTTCAGCGCCGCGCGCGCACACCGGCCCGCCGGCAGAGCTCCGTCCTCGGGGGGCCGCGCCGCCGCCGCCGCCGCCGCCGGCCGCCGAGGCGCGGACGCGAGAGGCGCGCTAAGCCGCGGGGCTCCGCCACATAGCGAGCCGACAATAAAGCCGGCGGAGCGTTTCCGTCCGACCAGGCCCTGGCGGAGGTCGAATGGCAAATGAACAACGGACCGTGCGCCCACAATGCACCGGGGTAGCAGTAACCGCTGGAGGGGGAGAGGGTGGGGGCCGGCCGGGGGAGGGGGCGGGCTGGGCCGGGCTGGGCTGGGCCGGGGGCGCCCGGGGACCGGGAAAGGGGCCGGCCGCTCGGGCCTGCGGGCGGGGGCGCGGCCGCGGGAAGGAAGCGGGCGGCGGGCGGCGGGCGCAGGCGGCGGGCGGGGCGCGGGGCCGGGGTCTCGGGGCGGGGCCGGCTCGGCCAGGACAAACAGCTGGCGGGTGTCAGGGACCGCCTCGGCGCCGCGCGCCCGCCCGGGCGCACCGTGCCCTGCTCTCGCCACGACTTCACCTGGGACCCCAGCAGGAACTGCGGTGGGAGCGCGCGGGCAGCCTTGTCATCTGCTGGGGGGTGGGTGGGTGGCCGTGCCCGAGGAAGTGAACTTATTTTGTTCCTTTCACAAAAGACTGGACCAGGCGGTGCCTTCCTCGCGAGGGCACCTCCTTGGGCGCATTGTGTGCGCCGGGCAGCACCTCTGGCCCCGGGCAATGAGCGTTTCACAGAAAATGCACCGCCCCGAGTGTCTTATTGCTGTGATGAAATGGAAATTTAAATAAAAGGTCGAACACGTGCGTTCACTGGGAAGTATTGACATGGGTGTTACATCACCAGCAGCCAATCAGATAACTCCGGTCGTGTTTATACTTCTACAACCACCTTGTGAGTATTACAGTATGTCATAGCGTTATAAATATTAGGCAGGGTTTTCCCCACGAGCGGGGAGGAGTCGGCTGCTGCGGGCGCTGCTGCGTGCGCTGCTGCGAAGAGAGTGCAGCTCCCGAGACAGCGTGTGCAGGCAGGGGAGAATTCATTTTCAGGACTTTGGGAAAAAGCTGTTGGCATCGCGGAATGGAATTTAGAGTGATTAGAACGGTCTAAACTGGAAATGAACCTCCCCCCCCCCCCCCCGTAGCTGTATTAGTCGCGTTTTTCAGGAAGAGGCTTGCCAATTAAGAGCCCTTAAACTTAACCCTCCCCCTTAATTATGCTCTATTTGGAAAACATTAACGCGTTTAGACTTTTACTAATTTACAAAGTGATAGTTGTTTTTATTTACTTACTTTTTTTTTAATTTGGGATTTTTTGAAACAGGATCTTCCAAGACTTGGGCAGATCTCTTGAGTTCCAGGCCAGCCTGGTCTACATGGTTTAGTTCCAGGTCAGCCAGGGATACACACTGAGACCTTGTCTCAAAGTAAAAGAAAGAAACAGGGCCCTGCTGTCTAGCCCAGGCTGATCTCACAGCAATCCTCCTGCCTCAGTATCCCTAGTGCCTAGGATTATGTATATACACCACCATACCCCATAAGATTAATCTTAAAATTCTTTTGTTCAAGCATATTTCGGGCTTTTCTTTCCTTTTTCTTTTCCTTTCTTCCTTCCTTTTTAAATTTTCTTTTTCCTAAGACAGAGTCTCTGTATGTAGCCCTGGCTGTCACTAGACCAGGGTGGCCTCGAACCCAGGGGGATTCACCTGCCTCAAGCCTCCCGAAGGTGTACGTCACCTTGCCTGGCGCTTTTTTCCCCTTTTGGATGGAGAGAGGAGCTGGTAAAGGGTCTCTTCACTTTCAAGTTTTAAAGATGCTGGAGGCTGGATCGATGGAGAGGTGACCGCTCTTAGGCACCAGGCAGCCCATGACACACAGACATACATGCAGGCAATATACAAATGCATGGTTTTTTTTTATATTAAAGCCATGTGTTATAATTCTCCAAAGTGTAATAAATGACTGTTTGCTAATACTTTTTTTTTTTTGAGACCGCTTTCTGTGTAGTCCTGCTGGCCTTGAATTCATTCTGCCTCAGCCTCCACGGTTTTATCACAATGCCCAGCTACCTCAATGGAGTTTTTGGTTTGTTTACTTTGTTTAGAGGAGGCCTCACTTCATACCCCTAGTTGTGGTGATATATTGTGTACCCTAATAAAATTTGCCTGAAGATCAGAGAACAGGGCAAGCCACTAGATTAAACATAGATCCCAGGTAGTGGTGGCACACACCTTTAATCCTAGCACTCTGGAAGCTTTTTGTAGGCTGAAGCTTTTGGCCTGGAAAGCTTTCAGCTGAGGACTCAGAGACATTCAGTCAGAGGATTCATGGAGTTGGCGAGGTGAGACGTGGCAGGGGCTTGTTCCTTTGTCTCTCTGATCTTCTAGCATTTACCCCAATATCTGGCTCTGGGGTTTTTTTTTATTAAAAGACCATTTAACATTCGTGTTACACCTGGTTGTCCTAGAACTCAGTCCAGGCTGCCTTCTAACTCAGGCAATCCTGCCTCACTTAAGTGCTGAAATTAAAGGTGAGAGCCACCATGCCCAATGGCCTTAACATTTTTAATTGAACTAAATGCAAGCATGAATGTTGAGATTTATGTGTTGATTTAGATTTTTCAAAGCCACTTTGACTTAATCCGCCGTCATTTTAGTACCTGATGTATTGCAGTTTTGTATATGAAACACAATTGGTTTATTCTAGTGTGAGCTTGTGTTTATTTGCATAAGTTTGTCCATCACTATAGCTGACAGCATAATTTCGGTGTGAAGGCTGCAATTCCACAAAATGCCATGGAGGTTGAGATATCTTCCCAGCAATGAACATCTCATCACCTACCTATATTGTTACAGTCATCAGATACTAAAGGCCACTTATTCTGATAAAGGTCCTCAAGTTGATACTGTTGGTGAGTTCTGGTTGTTGATTTTAAGACTGAACTGCGGCCTGCACCTGCCTTTTTCCTTGGAATAAGAAGAGAAACCCACGTGCTGTAGCTGCTGCAGTATAAGAAAATGTAACAACATGCTTGGTTTTCCGTGTATTTTTTTTTTTATTCTAGGCAGTTTACAAGTAAGTACAGGGGCTGGAGAGATGGTTCAGAGGTTAAGAGCACCGACTGCTTTTCCAGAGGTCCTGAATTCAATTCCCAGCACCCACATGGTGGCTACACAACCATCTGTAATGAAATCTGCCACCCTCTTCTATGTACATAATAAATAAATAAATCTTTAAAAAAAAAACAAGTAAGTACAGCATTGTATTTTTAACCACACAACCTCTTCCCCTTGAAAAAGTGGGTACTGACATTAGTTATCAGATTAAGATGTTGAGAAGTGTCGTCTGTGTGTCTGTTTTATTCCAAAACCAATAAATCTTACTTCATCTCAATCTTGTATCCCTAATTGATGTTTAATAGCTACCATATCAAGTTATGCTAGTATTTGCTTTCTAGTAGCAATAGAGGCAATCAACAAAGTTGAGATCCTTAGTGGCACTTACAGAGTGCCTTTCTTCACACATACATCCTTCCTTATTTTTATAAAGTCTACACTGTTGTCACTTATGGTGGCACCGTACTGTAGTCTCCGAACTGAGGAAGCTGAGGCCAGAGCCCCGGTTCCAGCTAGCCTCTGTTACATAGCAGACTTTCGGCCAGCCTGGACTACACAAGACCCTGTCTCAAAAAATAAATTCATAATCAAATATTTAAATAAAATAATTTCCACATTGTCTTTCTGGAATTATATTTAAACAGGAGCTAATTAAGAATGAATAATGCTGAGGGGAGGGAGATGCTGACCGACTCACAGCTAACTGTTTATAACTCCATATCCAGGAGATTTAACTCCCTCTTCTGTACTGCACAGGCAGCCTGCCACACACACACACACACACACACACACACACACACACAAAATACTTTTTTTTTTTTTTTAAGAGTGAATGATAGGATACTCGGGTCTGAGTATGTTGTCATATTTGGTGGAATGCTCATCTAGCATGAAGCATGCCCTTGGTTAGATCCCCAGGATCTCATATCTCACAAACCAGGCGTGTGAGCACATCCCTGGGATTCCATCGCTTGAAAAGTCGAGGAAGAGAATCCAAGTGGAAGGTCATCCCTAGCTGCATGGTAAGTCTGAGGCCAGCCTGATTTAAATTCTACGACCATTGAACTAATTAATAACCAGACAGTAGCAGAGAGAGGGGTAGGTGTGTGTGTGTGTGTGTGTGTGTGTGTGTGTGTGTGTGTGTGCTTTTCGGTTGTCTGTCTCTAAAGCCTAAAGCCGATGAGAAACCTTTAAGGAATCAGAAGCAGATCTGTGCCTCCAGATACCCTGTGCTAAGGGAACTTTGAATCACAAGGGGATCTCCTCTGCAAATGGAGTTTTTAGGAATTCCCCTGCCCCTCCCAGGCTCCCACTAACAGGCAGGGACCTGTTCTCCCCTGTAGCCCCCATACTTACTGTTAGGGTTCTGCCATATTCAAGGGAATTCCCCCTGATGCTTACCAGGGGAACCCCTGAAGAATGGGGCAATCCCAAGCAATTTGTCCCCTAATTTCATCTAAGCTATGTAAAACTTCTGGAGGTGATGCTTCAGGCTGTCCTGTGGGCCTGATAGTGATGAACCACAAGACCT